GGCCCGGCGAAACGCCGGCCCGGCCGGAGCCCAGCACCATGGCGTCCCATGGGCTCGCCTCGGCGTCACCGGGGCCGGCGGCGGGCGGTGCTGGCTGCCCACCAGCTCAGAGCTGCGCTGATGTCAGGTCCCTGCAGGGATGACTTCACGCGCCAAGCATCCGCCTGCGAGCCCGGGAGGAGCGGCTGCTGCTGTGGGGCCATGCCTCTGCCCCCTCCTCATCCCCGGAGAGTCCCCGTCCCCAAGGAGGCAGAGGCCGGGCTGCTGCAGCCCCATGTGCAAGATGAGCAGTTTGGTGGAGAGATAGGAAACCAGATGTTTGCGGGAGGGAGCGACGCGGGGCTGTGGCGTTGTTTGGGGAAGAAGCCTGCACCCACCGGGCTCGGCCTCCCCCGGCGCCGGGCGATGCCAAGGGGGATCCCGTTCCTGCCCTGGAGCGGGGCTGGGAGCCGTGACCATGGGGATCCCCTCGGCTGTTCGGGGCGAGGGTCCCCTCCGGGGGTCAGAGCCCTCTCCAGGGTTGAGGGCGTTTTCCCACGTGGCTTCAGAGTTGCCCAAAGCCCCAGTGCTGGCGGTGTGTGGGTACGTGTGTGAGCAATGGGTTTTGGGGACCAGCAGTGATGGGATGGAGGGGAAACCCCAAACTGGGCGGCTCTGCAGGACTGGGCAGGGGCTCTGCTGCCCCGTTCCCCCTGTCGCCGGCCGGGCCGGGGCAGCAATGCCCATCCTGCCAGCGTGACCTCTTCTCCCTCTCCCCCCGGCTGCAGGAGGTGGCGGCAAGCGGAAAGGCAGGAGCAAGAAGTGGAGGGAGATCCTCCGGTTCCCGCACATCAGCCAGTGCGATGAGCTGCGGAAGGGCCTGGGTGAGCTGGGGAGGGCGCCGGGACCCGGCAGAACCGGCTCACGGGTCCCGGCACGGCGCCGGGTCGCGGCCGCGCTGGGGGCACGGCAGACGCGGGGCTGCGGCATGTGCTCGGCACGGGGCGGGGGACATCCCGCCCTC